GACGCTCTTCCGATCTCCCCAAAACCCCAAAACCCCAATCTTTCATATATGTTAAGATGAATGAAATTAATAAAATTGAAATTAAATTTATAACTTACTTTATAAATATTCCAAAATCACTTAAAATATGAAGAAAGGTAACATTTTCAATCTTTTTAGCATATTCTCACCCTTTAATAGATAACTCAGCCTCAATTCTCCCTAGGTATAACAATTTACAGTCTTAAAGCATGCTTATACTTTCTATTTTAGGGCAAACATAGAAAAAATGAAAAAGGAAAATGCTCTTTTCAAAGAAGAATTGGTAATGAAATACTTTAAAAATTCATCGATTTGATATTTCATCTGCATTTAACTTTTTCTAAATGAATATACTTTGGATGCTAATAATTTTCAATGTAGAATCTAGAGGGTAAATCGAGTATGTAATCAGCAGGAAACATTGGTTCACAGATAGCAGTGTTGCAGAAATTCGGTGACAACTATGCTAAAAGAATCGAAAAGGAGAAAAAGAAGCTTGATGAATTGAATACAAAGATCAAGGATGTGCAATAGAAGATAGAGACTCAGAGGAGATTAATCAAGGATAACTAGGGACAGAAGGAAAGCAATGAGGATGTTGCAAGAAAAATTAAATCACTTGAGAACAGACTTGACAAATAACTCCAGAAGTTCAACCAAGCAGTGGCATAAAATAAAAATTTGAGAGAATAGATTGATGCACTCAGACGTGAAAGAGTCGTATTTGATAACATCTATAAGAAGCTAGAGACTGAGCTCAAAAAAAAGAAGGATGACATGATGAAGATCATTGAAAGAGCCGAGAAGGCCTACATGCAAAGAGAACAAGCTAAGAAGGAGATGAATGATCTGAAGAAGGAAGCAGAGAAGGAGTAAGAGGAATTTGAAAAGGAGTGGAATAAACTAGGACAATTGATTGAGAAAGATAAACAGGTTAAAGATTTTATTAAGACTTAAGAGGAGTCAAAGGCTGCTCTACAGGGCACAATCAATCATAATAATACACTCGGAGACAACAAGGATTTGAAGTCTTAGAGACAGGAAAATCTGAATGAGCTGACTAATACAGAAAAGACATTGAAGAAGCAAGTTGCTTAGACTGGCTGGGGTATTGCTAGGGACACTGCTAACATTCACTTGTCTATGGCTAAGGTTTAATAGTACGAAGAAGCATTTAATTCAATCAAAGCAGCCACACATCTTAATGATATTGATCAGCTCGTAACTGAGTTTGTCTAAGCTGAGGACCATAACTACTCTCTGTATAAGTATGTGGGTGAGCTGACCAATGAAATGGATGAGCTTGAAGATGAGATTAAGCGCATTCGAGAGGAAATAGACAAGTATCGAGGCCATGGCGTGAACAATGAGAATAACAGAGAAAAGATTCTGGATAAGCTGAATAAAGAGCTAGCAGCAACTGAGAATGAAACTAAGGAGTACGATAAACAGTATTAGGAGACGATGAAGACTATAAATGCTCTGAAGATAGGCATCTAGTCTATCTTTGACAGGATTGGTTGCAACACTGAAGTAGTGCCTGAACTGATTGGAGCCACTGGAGTGACTGAAAGCAATATGATGCACTACTTGGGTGTGATAGAGCAGAGAACAAATGAAGTGCTGTAGATGTATGCTGCTTGCCAGTCTAAAGGTGGATTTGACTCATAATAACTACCCTCAGGATAACTGAATGTGCCTTAGATTGGGACTAATGTAGGACCATAGAATAATGCTAAAAGTGGCAAGGATGGAGTAGCAGAGGACAAAATCAATCTAGATGCACCTGACTTGTTGTATCTTGAGGACGATGAAGAGAGAAAGAGTGATGAGGATGATACTAGAAGGTTCACCATAAAGGACTTCAAAGAAAAAGCTCAGAAATTCGTAAAGGACAACTTTGATAAATACGCAGCCAAGAAAAAACCCAAGACTAAGAATGGTGCTAATGATGCCAATCTTAAAAACTAGTGATAGTTATCGCACACCCCCTATTAATGATATAAGTTGTTTTAATTAACTAAGAAATCTGAACGTTAAGATGTTAACATTTATTAAACAGCTATTTTATGACACTAACGCAAACGATCTTAAATATTTTCAATTCTCAAGGACTCTTTCATAGATTTCGATTGCTACAATTGATTTTCATCTCATGAGCTTATACTACTTTGCATGTTCAATTTACGCTCATTGTTTACTTTACTCAGCACTATTGCTATCTTCACCTGGCTTGTGCTGGGTAGCTTTATCTAAGATAGTTACCTTTTTTCTAAGTGCTCTTTTAAATCTATACGATGTCCTGCCTTCGGGATACAACATTGACTTCTTTCTCAGCAGCAGTGCTGGGTAGTTAATGAATATGGATGTGATTTCATCAGCCTCCTGCTATATAAATATCGACTTCTCCAAGTTTTGGTTGTTGAAATCATCTATGAACTTGGAGTTTAGACCTAGCTTGTTCAGAGTGTAAGTGTCGTCGTAGCCAAAGTACTATAGCTACTCCTTCGCATAGTTATACATAAAGTCTAGCTGCTCACGATTGAACTTATCCATGTTGGTGTTAACACGTCCTTCTCGGGGTTTGTAAATCTCTGGAGCCTTTTCCTTGACCGCCAGATCTATATATTTCTCAATCACGGTGCCCTCGATGTGTGAAGTGTTCAGTATGAACTTGAACAATTTTATCATAGTAGGACGCGGGTCAGTAAGTATGTCTTCGAAACGGATGAGATGGACTGGGATCTTAGCGTTAAGCCAGAAATCGTGGAAGTCTTTCCAGACTGTGATCTCCTACTCGATAAATTCATTCCATTCCTTTGAAAATTTAGCATAGTCACCTGGGTGCATTGACTTGTTATGAGAACCTGTACACACCATATTGAATAGTGATGTTACTGCGTCTACTGGATTTCTAACTTCCAAGATGCATTTCTCTGCATAGAACTTTGTCTTGCCATACCTCTCTGGATAGTGAGTCTTGACCACCAGGACTCTCTTATCAACTAGACCTTCTCCATTCAAACCCATCATCATCAACTCTTTATTTAATTTCTTTTCAATATCGCAATCTGAACCAGTCACAAATCCCATTATTCTCTCAATATAAGCTCTAAGCAAGGTATTTCCTGATCTAGGGTAGCTAGCGAGAATCACAGTCTCTTGGTCTTCTGGATTGACATCAGTATCATCTAAATACCCCAAAGTAGGAAGACTTCCAATCATAAGTTAATCATCTCCATCTTAAATTTTCTGCAATAAATATTTCCTGACGTCAGCTAATGGCTTCTTGATTTCCTGATTGTCAAAGAATGGTCGCTCTATATCATATGCCTTATTGCCCTCTCTAAGTATAGGTTTCTTAGTGCTGGGTGCCTGTTGTTTGGTCTTTTCTGAGTCAGTAGCTACCCTAATCTAATCTTTTCTCTCCATTATATATAATTATTTATTTTATAATCAAAATCGACTTGCATTCAAATATCACTCAAGTGGGGTTTTGGGGTTTTGGGGTTTTGGGG